GGGCCGGCCCGCGGCCCCAGTGCTGCAGCGGCCGGGGCCGCCTCGCGCTGCCGCCGGGTGTGGCCGGTGCGGCGGCCGCCGGCGCCAGTCGGCCGCGCCGCCACAATGCGTTGACCACGGCTATTGATTGGGCCGAGCCGCTCCGCCCGCCCGCCCGTCCGCCGCTGCCGCCGCTCGGATGCTGCGCTCGCGCCCTGTTGCACGCCGCCGGCCAGGCGCCGGTCAAAGCCCGCCGGCGCTCGCGCCTTGTCCCGGTGACGGCGCGTGCCCAGCCGACGACGACGGCGGCGGCGGCGCCGAGCCACACTGGGACAGCACCGTCCGTCCACGCGCGGATCGTCCGACCCTCCTCCCCTCGAACGGCCGCGCTGGCGGCTGCCGTGGCCCAGCGTGATCGAGGCGGGATAATGATGTGTTTCTTCTCTTAGAAGGTTCGTTAGGGGCAGGCTGTCCTCTTCCAAATCGGCCAGAGCTGTGACGTCCACAGATTTTTCCCCTCGGATGTGGGATTTCACAAACTATACGAATATCGATCAACACACGCGTGGTGTTGCGTTATTGGAGCTCCATACCCGATATTCTCTCGGAGTTTAGCCCCACTACCGCGCCGATGCGCTGCGGGCGGCAGCAGGGTCTCCCTCCCCGGCAGCTGACGTCCGCCTGTCCTCCCATCCGACCCCGGGCCGGGCCCCGCACCACTGCTCTGCCCTCCGGCGGCGGCGCAGGTACGTGACCCCGCCGGCGCCCGGGGGCGCGGCGCAGTAGCCGGCGCGCCCGGCGCCCGACGAACTGCATGGCTCATCGTAACTGAAGCAGCCGGCGGAAATATCAGCCGCTGGCCGGCGGCGCGGGCGGCGGGGCGGCGCGGACACGAGACGCGGCGTGGGGTGACGCGGGCCGCAGCGGAGCCGGCGCCGTGCTGCTGCAGCCTTCGGCGCCGCGGGGCGGCAGGACGGCCGTGGCCTTGCCGCCTGTGCATTCGCACACCAGACTTCGCCCGGCCGAGGAAATTCGCCAGATAGCGGCCGCTAATCTGCACTGGCGCCCAGGCGCTGCGGGCTTTCTCAAGAAACAAAAAAAACGGCGCGCCGGAGTTCTCGTCTTGGTGCATGAGGTGCGGGGAGGGGAAGGGGGCGCTGGCTGCACTGCGTGCCGCCGCGCGACGAACGCCGCTCCCGACGAGCGGCTCTTATCGGCGCGAGTTTACCAACAGGCCGCCGTCAAGTCTTGGTGCCGTCACGACTATAACAATCCAATGTCAGATACGGACCAAGTCCGGTTATGTAGCACGGCTGCCGCCCCTTATCGGCTATCGGCACGGCGTCGTGAATCAATCCCGTTAATAGCTCGGCCTGCAGGCACCCCCAGGCAGCGGATGGGATCGCGTTCAGCTGGCAGGGCTACGTCCCGTCCCTCGTTCCCCTCCCCTGCACCCAGCCTGCAGTTCAGTCCCTCCAACACCACAAGCCTTGAAAACCCAATCAAAATAAAAAATGAGTGAGTTCTTGTTGCTCTTCCATTTCCTTCAAGCACCAATATGAAAAGACAACGGGCCGAGAGAGGCTGACCGCCCCATGCCGGACCGCCTCCGGTCGCCACCGGCTTCGCGAAACCTGCCGCAGCACCGCGGACGCAGTCCTGCACCGGTGCGTCGGCGTGTAGCGGCGTCTCGCGCGGCGCTGGCCTGCATTGCATCAGCCCGCCGCCGGACTGATCGCGTCTGCCATACACGGCGCGCTGAGCGGCTGGTCCCATGGCGCCCGGCCGCCGCCGCCGCCGCCGCCGGCCGCTCGTTGCTCGCCGGCCGGGCCGCCGCCAGTCCCAGGGCGGCGTTTCTCCGGCTTTCACTTGTTGCGCGGCCGAACGGCTAGCGGATGGGATCGTTCATGCGGGGCCGGCGGCGGCGCCGGGCGGCGGCCAGGTCCGGCGGGGTCCGGCGCGGCGTCAGACGAGGTGGCGGCGCGGGCTGAGAGCGGGACGGGGTACGGGCTTGGTTGCGTGTGGATCGGCGCTGTACGACCGAGCACGCGCTACGCCCTTAAGCTCAGCTGCTTAATGGAAACGGATCCACCTGTTTTTTGGGTCATAGATGGGGTGGGACTCGTGTGTGTCTAAGTTTGGGAACGTGTGTATGTGTGTGACGTGTGTGTCCATGATTGGTAGAGTGGCTACCAAATTTGCCCTCGTTTGGAAGGGTGTATGGATCCTGCGGTGTCGTGGCGATGAGGGATTTTGATCCGGTAGCGTCTTGCTCACGTAGGGGTCATGGTGTCATGTGTGTGTCATTGGGGCTTTACGACGCACCCAGCTGCTGAGGCTATATGGCGTCACCTGCCTCTCACCCTGGCAGGAAGGGCGGGCACCGCGGGAAATCGAACCCCGTACCTCCGGTTTCCCAGACACGCAGCGGTTAACGCAGACGCGTTAACCACAACACTACCGGTATCCCCACGTCGGGGTCATGAATTCGGCTGTGTGTGGATCGGGGGTTGCGTGCAGATCTGGCTGTGCTTTTGTCAGGGCTGGGACACCGGCACGCTGCTCTTGGCCGGAGGTGGCATGCTAATCCGGTGTGTTGTCTCGGTCAGATATGGAATGTGTGTCCTATGGGTCTGGTCATAGGTGGGATGTGGGTCCCCTAGGACTCTTCAGAGATGGAATGTGGACCATCTGGGTCTGGTCAGAGATGAAATGTGGATCCACTGGGTCTGGTCAGAGGTGGGGCTGTGGATCCACTGGGTCTGGTCAGAGATGGGATGTGGATACCGTGGGTCTGGTCAAGGTGGGATGTGGATCTCCTGGGTACAGTCATAGGTGGGGTGTAAATCCCCTGGGTCTGATCAGAGGTTGGGTGTGGATCCCTGGGTCTGGTCAGAGGTGGGGTGGGGATCCTCTGGGTATGGTCAAGATGGGTTGCGGATCCCTTGGGTCTGAACAGAGATGGAATATGGATCCCTTGGGTCTGGTCAAGGGGAGTTGCGGGTCCCCTGAGTCTGGTCAGTGGTGGAGTGTGTATCCCATGGGTCTGGTCAGAGGTTGGATGTTTATCCCCAAGGCCTGGTCGATGTGAGTTGTGGATCCCCTGGGTCTGGTCAGAGGTTGGGTGTGGATCCCCTGGGCCTGGTCAGAGGTTTGGGGTTTATCCACAGGGCCTGGTCAATGTGAGTTGCGGATCCGCTGGGTCTAGTCAGCGGTTGGGTGTGGATCCCCTGGGTCTGGTCAGAGGTGGGGTGTGGACTCCGATACACTCCTCTGCCGTGTTCAGCGGCGCTCCGCATCGAGCCTGGAGCTGTGCACTCCGTCGGCATGTTTCATGACCGGCGACAAATCTCGCCGTCCGATTTTGCGAGCGGCCGTACGTTTGCGCTGTGCCACGGGATGAGATTCGGCCTCACCGGCCCCAGTCCTCGTTAGCGTGCGTGGTGACGGTGGCGCCGCGGGGGCCGCGGGGACGTGACCAGGCACGGTGGTCGGGGTGAGCGCGTCGCCGGAGGCGTCTCGGACGGACGGCGGAGCGGCACCGCTGCTGAGAGCGTTGTCGGGCGCTGTCCGCCGGCCGGCGCGGGACTGTCGGGTGCTGTCTGCCGGCCTGCTCGGGACTGTCGAGCGCTGTCTGCCGGCCGGCACGAGACGTCGAGCTCTGTCTGCTGTCAGCCGGCCGGCCCGGGACTGTTGGAGCAATGTCTGCCGGCCGGTCCGGCTGTGGTAA